GTAAGCCTGGTACATGATTTCTGTTCTCAACGTGGAAGCTAAATTCTATACTTTAGAACACGTCTATACTTGCCGTGCTTTCATAAGGGTACAGTAACCATGGGCCCTTGTAACTTCTAGTATAACAACTTGGGGTGAATCTCTAACTGAATAGGATTAAAGCTAGAAAAATGTCTCTTTTAGGTGACCTGGTGCTACTTGACGTGTGTCCTCTGACACTTGGCATTGAAACTGTTGGGGGTGTTATGACCAAGCTCATCCCAAGAAATACTGTTGTCCCCACCAAGAAATCACAGATTTTCTCCACAGCTTCTGATAACCAGCCAACTGTAACAATCAAGGTCTATGAAGGTAAGTGTCCTGTATCACTGAACTAAAATAGGATGTATCCTGTACACATTTGTCTTGTGAAAACTTTTTAAAAGCCTTACTAAGTTAGACATGGAGCAATAAATGACCATGCCTCAAAAGAAAGGTCATGTCAGAATTCCTCATTATAGCCCTTGAGAAGAAACACAACTCCCCTAGTGGGGAGACCTTGGTAACAGACCAATTCAAATGGCTACTTGTAGCATCTTCAAAACTACTAGTGTTCTGGTAAGAGTGCTTGATTGGATTTGTCCAGAGTTCCTCCTTTTCATGAGGGCTCTAATCATGTGGTTTCTGGAGGGAGAAGTCTAAATCACCCCCATTCAGTTTAAAAGACTGATATTGCAAAGGCTTTTTACTACAAACCTGGGTGGCTCAGTATTCCACTTTACTGTTACAGGCAAAGGAACATGCTGCTCCAGGCAACTAAATAAAGCCAAAATTGAACACTTAACCTACTCCCAAACAAGTAGCGTTTTATCTGGTCATTCAAAGATTCAAGTGTCCCCAAACTTTAGCTGGGCTTTCACCCCCCCCTTAAAGTGAAACAAAATACAGGTTCAAAACCCAAGGTTAGTCATGTCAAACCACATGTAACCCCTCCCTTTAGACACAGGTACAAACTAAAACTTTTACCTCTGTAGGTGAACGTCCTCTCACCAAGGATAACCATCTTCTGGGTACTTTTGACTTGACTGGAATCCCTCCTGCTCCTCGTGGTGTCCCACAGATCGAAGTTACCTTTGAGATAGATGTGAATGGAATCCTCCGTGTTACAGCGGAAGACAAGGGCACAGGAAATAAAAACAAGATCACAATTACCAATGACCAGAACCGTCTGACACCAGAGGAGATTGAGAGGATGGTTAATGATGCTGAGAAGTTTGCAGAGGAAGACAAAAAGCTTAAAGAACGTATTGATACCAGAAATGAGCTGGAAAGCTATGCTTATTCCCTGAAGAATCAGATTGGGGACAAAGAGAAACTAGGTGGCAAACTCTCATCTGAAGATAAGGAAACAATCGAGAAGGCAGTAGAGGAAAAGATTGAATGGCTTGAAAGCCACCAAGATGCTGAAATTGAAGATTTCAAAGCTAAAAAGAAGGAACTGGAGGAGGTTGTCCAGCCAATTGTTAGCAAGCTTTATGGAAGTGCGGGACCTCCTCCTGAAGAGGAAGCAGGAGAGAAGGATGAATTGTAAATCTTGGGATCTCTGAATGTTACCTTGTAAATACTGGACTCAGGAACTCTTCTGTTAAGATAATATTGAACTCTAATCTGGAATGTAATTGGAATCTTCACTTCTGAGTGGAGATGGAAATGTTAGCCCAAAGTGGCTGTTTACTGCTTTTCATTAGCAGTTGCTTGATGTCTGTGGGGAGGCGGGAGGGAAGGGTAGTGGGGTGGGACTGTAAAATGAGTTGGGGTTTAGAAGTGTTCATGTGGAAAACATCCTAACTGGTCATGTGCATTGTGTGTAGAACTTTTTTCTACCCAAGTGACCACAATAAATTTGTTACTTACACTGGATCTAGCTTAACTTATTTCCTGGCATGTCTGCTTAGACTACCAAACTCACTGGGTGCAGTTCACTTCCTTAAAATGCTCTTTTCAACTAAAGTTCTGTTCATCCTGCAAATAGTCCCACAAGCACTTCAGTGTAAGCATTTAACCTGAAGTGCTGCTAGTAGCTGGACAGCTGTCATGCCTAACTTGCTAGGAAAAACGACCTACCTCCCTTAAGGTTCAGTGAGCAGTTAAAGTCCAAATCAGTGCTTCTCTAGGTAACCAAGGGGTGAGAGGACCAAGTCAGCCTCAAGAAGGCTGGATGATTTTTACTACTCCAAGTAATAAGATTAGTGCCTACAGCTCACTCAAGTTTAGCTTCCCTGAAGCATATTAAAGCACCCATAGGTACAAAGTACTTTGGGCAGGGGTGCTGTGTACCTAGCCAGCTGGTCCTTTTCCTCCCATTAGCAGGAAAGGGGGCTACTATGGATCAGCATAGCTGTGATGTGTTCAGCTGAACAGATCAACTGAAAGGTATAGTTGAACAATTGGCTGCACTTGTGATTCAGCAATACCAAACTAAGCCAAACTTGGTCTCATTGAGAGACACAATAGTACAATACAAAACATACATGCCTGCCTTCTGAGAACTGCTTGTTTTGGCATATTCTCCTTAAGTTGTGCTTCAATATGCATTTCTGCTAGTATTTATAGTATGGCTTTACAAAACTCTACCACATTACTAAAATCCAACCCAACCGTTTGTAACACTTAATGTGCTTTGTTCTGTACTTTCCTTGTTGCTGTTTTAGATATCACATTCCAAACCTGTTGTATGTAGAGGTATATCCCAGTCTGTGCTAAACATACTGTTCATGTATCTTGGCTTTAACAGGATTTCTATTTTCTAATGCCAGAGCTGATTTCCACCTTTCAAAGTGGTGAGATGTGACACTCCCAGTGTCCTTTGACTTGGTAGCCTCCTAAGAGATCTTAAGAGCTATTGGATGGAGGCACAGAAATGTGACTATAGTGTGTGGTGTAGCAGAGGCTTAGCAAACAGTATAGCATAGGAAATGCCTGGCTGAACCATGCAGCTAATTATCATGCACTCCTAGGCTCTCTGGCAGTACTGATTTAGCTCCAGTGTTCTGTATGGCACTTACCAGGAATTAGTTTCCTTACCCAGAGCTTGCATTCTAAAGGCCCAATCCTACAACTGTCACTGAAACAAGTGGTATGACTTGAATAGAAAGTTATTAGGCCCAGATAAGACAGGAAAATGTTTTATATGCATTGTTTTCAGCTGGGCAGAGAAACTATTTAAGGATGCAGAAGTACTGCACTAAAAAGCAATATCTCATTCTACACTACAGGGATTTTCCTCTTTAAGTGTGAGTACTTCAATGGAATAACCTCCTCCATTACTGTGAAAAGGCTGTATGTAGCTTTTACTAGATCCTGAGTTTTTGATGACCCAGTCACATACCCTCTTATTTCCACACTAAACTCCATTCAACTGAACAACCACTTCTTGGCCTTTCACACACTAACAGGGTAAGTCAAACCCAGACACAGTACTGTAAAATAAGGTATGGTTACTTTGATCAGCATAATGCCATATTTATAATCCCTTAATGCATCCAGTTCCTTTATTTGCTGAACCATGTGGAAAAAGCTTCATGCATAATGAACTTGCCTTCCCCCTTCATTCACTTGACAGCCACTATGAGAACTATTTGGGGCAGTGCATAGTATAGTACCTTTGATTCAGAATAAATTTATCTGCCATCACTGTCCAATTATGCTAACTAATATTTCCACTTCACTATCCATTTCCTAGTAGTATTAAAATGTCCCACCTTCCATAGACCTAGCAACCACTCATAGCTGAATAGCAGAATGGGCTTTGCCAAGTTTCACTTTAACATTGATCTTTAAGACTAAGTTACAGGGAGAAAACCACCAAAAATTGATTTCACAGAGGACAGATCTCAGCCCCTATTACTAGTTTACAATTTCATCTTTGGCTTATCTAGGAATACACTTCAGTTTTTTTTAAATGACAAACCTTTCTTGTCCTTGAAGTTAACTTTTAAGATACTAAATGAAAGGCTCACTGGCGTAAGAATTAGATTTGGAATAATTAAACTCTCACCCACTAGTTTTAAACCTCAGCAGCATAAATGTAATTGAGCTGTAGATAAGGTGACTGCCCATATGGATACTGTGCCCATCACTCGTATCAAGTTAAATCCAGGACCTTTACACTTCAGTATTGTGAGAAGATTGTAGCTACCCAGTGGTCACACTTGAGGGGAGCTATGTGTAGGGGCTTATCTACACAGCCAATTTTAATGCTAGTTATACCACTGGAACACCCTTATGTTTTTTTTCCAAGTTTAATTTATACAGTAGAACCTCAGTTACAAACTGATTGTCAACCACACCTCCTTTGGAACCAGAAGTACTCAATCACACACCAGCAGAGATCAAAAAATAAAAGCAAATACAGTACTCTTAAAATGTACAATAAAAGGAAAGCATTTTTCTTTTGCATAGTAAAGTTTCAAAGCTGTATTAAGTTAATGTACAGTTGTAAACTTTTGAAAGAATAATTTTGTGCAGAGTTAAACAACCTCCATTCCTGAGATGTTCATAACTGAGGTTCTACTGTATACTACTTCCAAACTGATAAGAGGCAAGCTAGGGATTAGACCAATATAGCAAGAGAGTTTTAACCATGCTGACATATTTATGCCAAACTTTCTCCATGGAGACCAGTCCTGAGAAATTAGAGATGGAGAGGACTTGCTAACCTGAAGGCTGCTATGGAAAGGTTACCTCAAACAGATGAAATTTAGTTTTTCCTTCAAAGCACATTCCATCAGCTCAACTTGATCACAAGGCAGATTCCAGAGCCAGCCAGCCACCTAGGTTTCAGCTCCACTCTTGCCAATAGCAAAATATGCATTAAATCTACCTCTTAGTTGCATATCCTCTGAAGGAGACTATAAAAGGTAGCTGTACACATTTCTGGAGTTTGTGACCCTTTAGGTGAAGGACATTACATATATGTAAATATACACAGCAGCCCAGGAAGGCAAAGTAATAGAGTCATCTATAACAAGAGAATTTTAATAAATAAGATTTTCTTAGCACAACACTCAGTTCATGCCAGAATTTAATTTCTTGGAGTGATCTTGTCAGTTATAAACACTGAAAAAAGAATTAGATTTATACAAGTGGACAGTTTGAGTACTCTGGTTTTATTACTTAATCAGATTCACAATACAGTCCCTGTGAATCTCCCCTTGAGTATCCATCCCACCAAATATTAAAAACAAATACATCAATTTGTCTTCTGTGCAGTCTTTTCCTATTTGTTTTTTCTGATCGGAGTCCCCCTCATCACTGACTGTTTCAGTTGCTTCCTTCCCGATTGTATTTCTGCTGGTTACAGCTGAATCTCTGTTCTTAACATTGACACATACTTGCCATGGAATGATGCACATGGAATGGTCCAACCTTCCAGGGGGCAAAGGAGAATCAAATTCTAATAGCGTCCATTGTTGGTTTTCTGCAGTTCAAAAAAGACACAAAACTCACTGTGAAATCAGTTTGAAATTCACAAAATTGGAAAGAAGAACAAGGATAGTGGCATCATCAAATTATGGACTAGTCTGCAATGTTATAACCCCCTAAAAAAAAGAGGGTGGGGTGGGGGAGGTCGTGCTGATTAACCATCACATTATACCACTGTAGAATTGGAGTAATGCCACTGATTTCAATAGACACACACTGGTGTAAAGTTGTGGTAACCAAGAAGGGAATTGGGTTTGGAGTTTCCAGGGAAGATGTAATAATAATTCCTATGATAAAAATATATTTTTCATACAGTAATTAAGGGTAAAAACCTTTGTAGAATTTTATGAAAAAAAACTTCCCACCTATGTGATATTTATACATTGTATCCAGTGCCCCAGTTGGGTCCATTCCACCAAAAATGTACAGATGGTCTCCAAAGGCAGCAGCTGAGTGGGCTGCCCGTCCTCCTGGGACATCACCAGCAGCTGGTAACTTTTCCCATCTCATATCCTCTATAGGCAGAAAAATAAATCAGTGGCTACATTGTATAGAATGAAATAAACGGCTATTTATTAGCATTAAAAGGCCAACAGTTGGGCAGGGTCTGAAATCCTCTGAATCAGCCCCATCTTTGAGTTTGCTTTTGTTTTAAAGCAGTCACACTTGGGCTTTGCTTGTAAGAGCTCAGGCTAGTAACAAGACTGCTGTTCTTTTGGATGTGAACAACAATTGCAGGTACTTAGCACTTTCCTGCATCAGAGGTACTGTCCTTCTGGGGAGGTGGCATTGGGGGAAGCACAAAGATTTTCCTTCTATGGGGATGTGCTAGATTTCTTCTTTCCATTGCATGGGAGTTTCTGGTGGTACCAACAACCAGCAGGAGTACACTTGGTTGAGGATGTTCTCCCTCCCATATATAATAGGGGAGCAACTATAGTAGAACTTCGGAGTTACGAACTGACCGGTCAACCATGCATCTCATTTGGAACTGGAAGTACGCAATTAGGCAGAAGCAGAGATTTTTAAAAAAGCAAATACTGTACAGTACTGTGTTAAATGTAAACTACTAAAAAAATAAAGGGAAAATTTAAAAGAGACTTGACAAGGTAAGGAAACTTTTTCTGTGCTTGTTTCATTTAAATTAAGATGA